GGCGCCTCGGGACGGCGACAAAGCCTCGCAAGTCGATTTGATGCAGAAGGCAAGTATAGCCGAGCCCCAACTCCTATTGTCGGTATCCTCCCGGTTCAAAAAGGCACGGGATGTACATCCGGACGCCGTGTCTCCAAAGGCTTGCGTCGAGGAAGAGAACCCGTACCTAACATGTGGAGGATGTAGGCCCGACAGTAGTATGTCACGGTCTCGGCGTCTACGTTGGGTGGGCACTCCCGAAACCGCTGACGAAGCCACCTTAGGGACACCCCACTGCTGCGCCGTTTCTTGCCAGCCTCAACTGCCGCTAGGGGCCGTCCCAAGAAGTGCTCAACCCGCTGCTGCCATCCTTCAGACTCCGTGTCTCCAGTCACTGGGAATCCTCGGATTTTGACTCCAAGGATCATGGCAACGTCCTCGAGAGTGACCGTCATCTCCCCGCATGGTAGGTGAAAGTCAGTGTGTCTCCGGACACCACCGATCTATCAACGCCCGTCGGTCATTGGGTTGAAAGGTGGCGTGCCTCGACGACAAACACGAGCAACGGTAGCAAGGTTCGCCAGCTTCAGGAGGAGCGTGTACCTCTCGTCGTAGACCATGGTCGTAGAGGCCTCATGTGTCATTGGCCTCAGCACATTCAAAACCTGCAAAAAAAAGACAAGCATAAAAAAGTATTAGTTCATGTCACTTTATAAAGAGCATGGACTATAGAGCAAAACATGAACAATGCAATGTTTTCATACGAATTGTTGAATATACCTCTCCGTTCTCGATCCTTCGAGCCCTGGTGGTGCTCATCGAACCTTGGATCAAGAAGGGGAACCGATCCATCCTGCAACATAAGCAATGCCAAACCATTAGTATAAGTTAAAGCATGTGTATGTGGTGCGAAGTAACATAAAAATAAAAAAAAAAAAGTAAACCAATGTACCATTACACAAAGCAATTCTAGTAGCTAGCTTGATGGATACCATTGTCTAAGTAGTTCAGGACATTTTCTCTTATTGTGGGCGGCTTATGGCAACGAAGCAACGGCTCTTTTGGGTGTCCTCTACAAAATGTCTCCCAACCTTACTCGTGGTTGATCTACCTTTCGTGGCTCGGTCCATGTCCATCCTGAATCGCTTCCGCCGCCTAGGTCCTCTACTCTTCCAGAGTAAACCAAGATCGACCACATACTTGGGGCCATCATAAGTAGGCCATTGACTCTCGTCAAGAAATGGCTCGAATCGAAAATTCAGTGCTCATTAGGTTCCTCAAAGAGAACTCCGCGGCCATACGGGAGGGACCTCGAAGTCAACACGTCTAAAGCTGACAGTCAGTAATCATGTGGGAGCAAGGCCTATGGTATATGATCGGTTTTCCACACGTACACTTGTTCTCATTGATCACTACTTTATGTTTTCGAGCACCCCGATCTTCACCACCAATGTTAGTTCCGCCACCCTCTAGAATCTCATATCCATGGTTGATCGGATCGAAACATGAACCCTTCTATCGTTTAGACCTTTTCTTTGAGAAAGCTAGTTCCTGAGATGCTAAAAGTGGCCAAGCTTTGCCTGCTGTCCATAGAGACCTCGCATGCTTCTTCCTCGAAACAAACCAAGAATTCAACTTGTAGAAGGTGAATGAGGCAATAGCGATCCACAGTGCACTAACCGACAACCTCTTAGAAGGTCATTGAACATCTCTCGCCATGTTACTAGTCATGAAGCCCCATCTCCAACCACCCGTGTCATATGCAAGTGACCACTTATCCTTCGACGCCATCAACTCGCTCAAGAATTGCCTGCCATCAACATTTGTGGCTAACTTCAGGGCATCTAACTTGTCTTTGAATAATTGAACCTCCTGCTTCCTGCAAACCTCCTCAAATAATTTGAAGTTATCCTTTGTGTGATCACGCCTTATAAGATTTTGAGCAAGGTGTCTGGTGCACCACCGGTGATGTATTTGGCCGTAACCAGGAATCTCTTGTTCTACGGCATTCAGAATGCCAGCATGCCTATCGGATATCACACAAACATCACGTCCCAGACCAATTACCACTTGTCTTACTAGCCTGAGAAACCAACACCAACTATCCGTGTCCTCCTTCCGAATAATCGCAAAGGCCAATGGCACAAGCTGGTCCTCTGCATCATCCCCAATACAAATAAGCATTGTGCCTTCAAATTTCCTCAGAAGAAAGGTCCGTCAATTGAGACGACGGGCTGCAATGCTTGAATGCTTCGATGCTCTTTGAACGCCCAAAACGCCCTTCCAAATACACGCTACCATTCCTTGTTTCACCCTCCTTAGGTAAATACTCAAGTGCATTCCAGGATTTACAGACCTCATTCATTATGTTCAACATTACGGGGAGGCGCTCATAAGCTTCTTCCCAATTTCCAAATATTATTTCCGATTACACGCCGCTTTGCCCTCCATACTTTCCCATACTTGATATAGTAATTGTACCGTTGGAAGATGATCTCAACCAACGCAGACACCGTAATGGTTGGCATATGCTTCACCATGGGGCATAATTGCCTTGCAATGAACCTAGAATTGAGCTACAGATGGTTCTGTTCTGCCTCAGCAGTGGCACAAACATGTGGTTGCTTCACTGAGGTAATCTTCCATTTGCCTGCCTTCGTCTTCCTAGCACATACTCTCCAACCACACTGTTGTTCTTCACAAGCAACAATGTACCTCTTCTCCTTGAATGAATTGATGACCCTAAAAGGTCGGTTATGTACAATGGAGTACTCTTGCAACCATGATTTCAACTCATCCATGGTAGCAAACAATATGTCGTTCCGTATGATGAGGCAACCGCTAACATCAGGCACAGTTGTATCACTTGGCCCACCATCAGCTACTGCCCTATGACCATGGCTAAGGTCCTCGAAATCACCAACTAGTGGATCTCTCCAAGGCAAGACCCTAGATAATATCTCTATTTCCCTTAAATTCAGACGACCAACAGGGCGATCGTCATCAGAGTCTTCGGCTATCTCCTCTACGAAGGACTCATCATCTCCAGCTATCTCCATGCCAAAACGGTTCGTAGCCCTAGCATCACCAAAGTCTTCTTCATTACTAAGATCATCTTCGTCGCTAAGCTCATCCTTAGTAGAAAAGTCTCCGCTAGCGTCGTCCAAACCTTCTTCTGCATCAACAATTACATAATCATCATCCTCTTCATCACTATCATGATTGCCCTCACCATCGGCAACCGGCTTCTCTTCCTCATCTCCACCGTAGCCTAGTTGTGTGACAAGTATTTCTTCTTCAGGCAGAGGACCATAACCTATGTGAGTGGGGGAAGATGGCCATGCTTCGAAGTTATCATTTCCTAAGCCGGACTCCTTACTTACTACTAAATCCAAAGATCGCACTTCTGAGGCCAATACAACTACCTTGTAATCATTCAATTCAGTCTCGCTTGTAATTTTGAGCAACCGCTTGATCCGAGGACCCTTCGATGACCCAACATCTATGACACCTTCAAACTGAACATGCACGTCTCCTTCATTCCAGCCTAACTTAACCTTCACTCGCTCCACTAACTGGGTCAAAGATGGTGTTTCAGAAAAAATCAACAACTCCTCACACATGTTCAGAAATTCCAAACTATCATATCTTGTCCTAACAATACGGCATCCATAATGTAACATCACTAATTTATCCATCTACAGCCATCACACAACAAGTAGTGTAACATATGAATATATTTCAATCCAATAAGTAGAAACTAAAATATATCATTTCATCGTTTTTCAACCCCAACAATATAATCATTTCTAGTCATAACAAATTGAAATGTAATGACCAACAAATAAATAAAATACATAGTAACCCTAATGACCAACAAATAACTAACCCTAATGACACCTATAATAAACAAATAACCCTAATGACCAAAATAACTAGAAACCAAACTAACCTAACATGTTCATCACATAAAACAGTTAAACAACAATGCACTCAATCATCCTAAGCCATACATTTTGCAAATGCAAACACAAATATACCAAATCACCAAACAACCATGATTCCACATGATTAGGGACAATGTAAGCACATCTACGCGGATAGAATGGAGGAGGGAAAGGACCATTACCTCGAGAAAGCTTCGGGAGCCGAGATCGTGGCACCGGGGGTTGATTTTGAAGGTTAGGGTTTGCTGGCGGTGCGGGGGAGAAGAGAAAGAGAGGGAGGCCGACGGTTTCAGAATGAAGGGAGGAAGAAGGGGCCTCGGCGCGGCCTAAAGGGTCCAGACCTCGGCGTTGAGTCGGGTCACGCTGAGGTCTGGAGGCTCGGCGTTAAGTGACCCAACGCCGAGCTGCTGGGCCACCGTGCTTTGTTGGGCCGCCTGGGCCGCGCTCCGGATGGGGCCAGATCTCGGCGCGCAGTCAGACCGCGCCGAGGTTGGGTACTTGGCGTCGGCTGACACGACGCCGACGTTGCGGACCCACGCGCCAACGTGTCGACGACGACCCCGGTCGTCCGTGACGTGGCAATAGCTCGGCGTCGAGTGACACGACGCCGAGCCTCATATCTCGGCGTCATGTGCTAAGACGCCTAAAAATGATTTATTTTCAGAAAATATTTTGACGTTGGTATTTTTCTAAAAATTGTTTTCAAAAGAGACCAAAATACGAAAATTTCACACAAATGGAGCGGCCAGTGGAGACGAGGCCAGAGGCCTTGGTAAGCTTCACGGAGGCCCAACAAAGGAGCGATTTACAAAAATAGGAATCGAAACATGGGTCGCGTAGATTTGATATTGGACCTACATTTTACAGACACAGATGTCACTTGTCATCACGCGAGTGTCGCAGTAGTCGAGGAGTCATCGAGTGTCATTTTTTTCAATTTTTTTCTCCGCGTATAGCCACCGCCGCGGTGCACGCGCTCCCACCATTTTGCCCTCAAACTCAGAAAATTCAAGCTCAAACTCGTGCTGTCGTTCACCTCCCCTCCCCCAGGATCCCAAGTTGAGGAAGCAGGAGATGGGAAGAGACGGGAAGGAGACTAGGCGCCGGAGCCGCAAGAGATCCCGCGACGCCTCCCCCTCCCCCTCCCCCTCCTCGGATTCCGACTCCCCTTCCTCCGCGTCCTCCCCGAGCAGCAGCCCCGAGCGACGGAGCCGCAGCAGTAAGCGGAGTAGATCATCCTCGTCGCACCGACACCGCCACAGCCGCAAGGACAGCGGCCGGTCGCGGAGCTCCCGCGACGAGGACCGCCGCCGGCGGCATCGGAGAAGACGGGACCAGGAGAGAAAACGGCACGGTGAGGATGGTGGCGGGTCCTCCGACACCCAATCGTCGGAGGAGGATAGGGCGGAGGAGGCACGGGAGATCGTCCGAGATATCCTCAGGGAATTGCCGGCCGTAGCCGAAGAGCTTCGCCAGGTAGGGTTTCTTATCTTTCTTTCTTTTTTAGCCTACAGTTGTAGTTTCGGGAAGTTGAACAACGGGCCATGTCTGGACTTCCACAATTACAGTGCTAGAAAATCTGTAAAACACAGTTCACTTCATACGCTTATGCTGAAATTTAGCTTAGCTGATGCTTACGCTGAAACGTTGGGAGAGGAAAACACTGCTCAAAGTAGCGCTGAATAAGCTTAAGCGAACAGGGCGATGTGAAGGCAATGAAAAGTAGTTCTGAATAACTCTGCATCCATAGATAACCTACATATACTTCATGTGAAGGCGATGATTTTTGATTATGTTCTGTCTCTGGTATTTTATATGTGGAAGCCTGCAGTAGCTATAAGATGAAGGATAATAGGTTGTTTCACTCTACGGAAATGCAGCGAGTCTGAAATGATTCCTCGTTCCATACAAAGTGCCATAGAAGCTTGTTGATATGTCATGCAAAGTAGAGCTCCTCCTGCTTCTGATTCTCTGTGAGAAATGATTTTCTGAGAGAAGTGATTCTCTTGGATTCTCTGAGAAAAACTATAGATCAAAAGTGATTCTTTGCGAGAAGTGAATCAGGAGAAGCTAATTTTTTCAGCTCCTAGCCTCCTAGTTCAATTCAGGGAAATCATCCTAAGATAAACTATAATTTTTGTTTTGTATTTTTTATGCTTGGTTGATGTACTTATAATCAAGAACCAAAACGCATGGCATAATGTTCAATATGAAAGATATAATGATAATGAATATATTGGCAGTTGCAACTGCTACTTTTGAATCATGTATGTAGGCTGAGTTAATTCAACTTGTGCCTCCTGAAATTAATGTGGATGTATATTTCTTACTAACTTTCATTGCGGAGTTATTTCAACTCTGCCATTTCAACCAGCAGTTGTCATGCTGAAAATCAGCAACTGTGACTTGCAGAGTTACCCTTTATCTTTGTGATCAATTTGCATGACGAAAATTTGAGCTTCTTTCTTGGTGCATATTTTTGTTTTATACATTGAGTTACATCTTTGAAAGTTTAATAAAATTTTATATTTATACTGCCTTTTTAGGCTTCCAATTGGCATAATATAATATTGATGTCACATTGTTACTTAATAGCATGATATATTCATATATTGGATATGTATAGAAGTGGCTGTATGTGTTCTGAATAGCACTTGTATTCATTATTACAGCTCTAGGCCCAAATATATACAGGTACAGTTATTAGCAAATATGCACAAAACCCCTTATACAATGGGGAAATACAAATATTTATAAGACATCTAACAGTATGAAACATTATTCTAGCTATTATCTTCATACTTACTGTTTTCTATGGACTATGGTGGCTTCATTTCTCCAAAAGTATTGGGTACATTAACTCTTCAATTTTTAATATGCCACTGAAAATAGAATGTAAAATCTGCAGTCTGTTTGTGCTGTAATTTTATTTTTTCTGAATATATTTAATGTGTATATCTGTACCACATGCATTTTAGTGTGACTTTCATGTTCTGTGTCCTTAAGATAGCTCATGACATGTGAACTTTCAGCTTCTCCAAATGATAGACAGTGGTGAAGGCATTGAAATTTCTGGAATTTCCGACAAGCCATTGGTGAAGCGCTTGAAGAAACTTTTCCGATCTCTGAGACTGAAAGAAAGTGCTAGTGGGGCTTACTTGCTGCCTCCAAAAAATGTTCCTACACTTGATATTGTTGGATCATTACTATTAACAAGTTCCAAACTTTCAGACAACAAAAGTGGAAAGTCAGTATCACCAAATATAGAAGAACTACCACAGGCTAACTTTGATGTGCAAAATAAAGATAAAGATGATACTATTTCCGAAGAGCCGAAAGTTATTGATGTGGAAGAGGAACCTCCTAAAAGAAGGTAACACTTGGGTGTCACAATTTGTTCTGCTGCAGTATTCCCAATAAATTTCATTACATACCTGTAAATATGATAGAAGTATTCTTGGCCATATACTTGTTTGGTTAGATAGTTGCATCAGATGTGTCCTTCATTCAGTTACTTTGGGCTAACAACAGTACATGAGCTTTTCAATTACTGAATGTTAATGTCTGCTTCACTATAATGCCAGAGTATCCCACATTCCCACTATTAGCATATATTCTTGATGCTGGTATTCAGGAGCATTAATATCTTAATAACTCATGGCAAGGACATGATCATATCCCACTGAACGAAACCTAGTGAGACAGGTGGGTGTCAACTGGGTTATGAGGATTCGTCTCCACTTGCCCCTCCCATGAGGGGCTATGATGAACCTTGCCACCGTGCATCATGGCCCTCCTGTCCGTCCCCATCTAGCGAGTTTGTGGATAGCAAATAGGAGCTCTATTTTTGCCTTTCCCCCCATAGTTAGCTTCCTAAAACTCAAAAATCGGGCGGGAGGGGGGAAAATCGCGTGAAAACCACCAGGACAGACCCCATCCCCATCCGTTGGCTGTCTCTAGTCATTGCCCTAGAGCCCTATCCCCAGCCATCCCATGAACTTGTCCCACATTCCACCTCTCCTTGTGGCAGCTCTCCACCTCCCCCCTTTCTCTGTTTCTCTGTGTTCCACACCAGGGCCAAGCACTGCCAGGCTTTGATCTCCGTCTCGTCCCATGCTAGGGCCAAGCGCCACCAAGCCTTGACCTCCCTCGTCTCGTGTGGTCGCGCCATTAAGCTACTGTAGGCTACATCAGGACCGAGCCTGCCCACGAAGAGCAGTCTTCATGCCCCATGCGCTTCATGCTTCCAAGCATGGCACGATAACCGTGACAGCCATAGCCATATCAAACCTGCATAGTGATCGACGAGGTCTTTATGCCCCCATGATTGATTCAAGTTGCGTTTGTAGGTTGCTTGATTGAGATTGAGTTCTCGTGTGTAGTGAGTTGCTGTGAGTTCTTCGATGAGTTCTGCACATGTGGCGTAGTTAAAGTATATTGCTGCTGTGTTTTCTCTTGACATAACTATTCTAGGTTCTAATGTTCTTGATTAGTAAGTTTGGCGTTATGCTGTCTAGTGTGGCCATGTGTTTATGGAATGCCTCATTTCCTTCTCAAATTTGTTACCCGACACAACATGATTCTTTTTTTGTCTGATTACTGCCCAACTTGTTACCCAATTTAATGTTTTGCTCTGTGCAGGATAATCGGTCCTGCAATGCCATCTCGTGAATTACTGGCTGCAGCAGCTGAAATGACAGAGGCTCTTAGGTGCCGGTAATGATTTATTCTTGTTTTTAGTCTGATATGTTTAGCCTAGATTCATGTGTCAAACAATGGTTAGGCAAAATTTCATTCATTTAATGTTCTAATCAGGGATGCTGAACTGGAAGCCGATGATGATTTGCTCATAGGCCCCCCACCGCCAGCTGTAGTTGCTGAAGCTGCATCTGCAAATGAAGCTGAGCGATTTGAAGAGGTACAGTGTCAGTAGGAGCAATGCAGTACCAAGTACCTATGTTATTTTAAAGTTCATCCATGCTTGTGCTGTTCACTTTCTCGAGTTATCTTTACTGTTTGCAATTTTCACAGCAGTTGTGTATGTAAGCTGTCGACCTTGGCTGTCATCAATAATCCTGATTGATTTTGTGTAGCAACAGTATAATGTGTCCTCATTGATCCTTGCTATGTGCTTTTCTTATTTACCTTGCAATCAGCTAGTCTCTGCTGCCTATGGGGTCAATTTGTTATTCTGGATGATAACACATATATTTTAATATTTGATCCTTGGCACAAATTGCGGAGTAATGTGTGTCACTCACTTTGCTTGTATAACTGCAATCGACATTATAAACAACTTTCAGGTCCTGTTGGGATACTTTGGGATTAGGATCCAAAAGATTTTGTGTGCACTCCTTTGATTGATTAGAAAAGTTCTTTCTTGTAGTTTGTTTCTGTCACTTTCAATAAACATTTAATGGACAACATGATTATTTTCTGAATTCTTATTTTCTTTTCAATTAAATATCTGGTTTTGTTTTAATATGTTCCAGCAATTTGTTGACCTTTCTTTTGGATGTTTTTGGTAGGTTACTCGAATATTGACAGCTGACACAAATTCACCTTATGATGTTCTGGGGGTAAATTGGAAGATGTCAACTGATAACATGAAGAAAAGGTGGTGATTTGTATGCTCTTCATTTTCACAGCTAATTTGTTTTAATAATAAAATTGTTACCTCAAACCTTACTGTAAAGATAATAGAATGGTTCATGTAGTATTTGTTCTGTAGGTTGTTGGGAGTTGGGCTATTGTTGACACAAATAGTGAAAATTCGTAGCAGTACCTTTTAGGCTTTTTACAGGTCTTGCAACCTACAAGTGCCCGTGAAGAAAGTGGCTCCATTTTGTTATCTGTCATAAACCTATCACATCATGCTACATTAGTTATGTTTTTCTTTTCTGTTTTCTGCTTAAGTGACTAATCCTCCTATCTTATACTTGTAGGTATTGGAAGTTGTCTCTTTTAGTGCACCCAGACAAATGTCCTCATCCTTCAGCACAAGAGGCATTCGTGAAATTAAATAATGCCTTCAAAGACTTACAAGACCCTGATAAGGTACATGAGTTTTCCACGCACTGAAACTAGGTTCATCTTTCTATCAAAGTTCACTTACAGAATTTTGCCAAGTACAGAACCACTATTACATTTGTCTTATTTGGAGAAAATAATACATTTATATTGTGGCCATTAAAGAAGATACTATATTGAAGATAGAAAAATTTTGATGAAGTTTCCAGCTTAGTTTGTCTCTCTTTTTCGTTGATTAGTAAAATCCAGCGTCCTCCCCTCCCTCCCTCAAGTAGCTTACATTTTTATTTCTGTCATTTTCTTGATTTGCAGAGAGGTGCAATAGACGAAGATAAAAAAGAAAGAGGAGATGGAACAATTTGAGGTAAACTTCTGTAGAATATCTATTGCTTACTGATTGATCAGAATGAAACAGATAAGTATTTATTCTGTTTATCCCATTTCTACTTTTTAGATTGAGCTTAAAGCAATGCGTGAGGCTCATGGAATGGAGACGGTTACAAGGTAAATTATTGCAATATCAAGAGCAATATTCCAAAATAAATTTAGATATAATTTGATGCTATGTACTGTATCGTGTAGCAACATTCTTTTTGGGGTACAAATTTCAATCTACAGTTGTACTTTATGTGACGAAGATCTAACTGCCTGCTATGAATTACTATCCAGAATATCACTTAGGCGAACAACACAACATTATCAAATTAACTATCATAATAACAAAAATGATTTTTTTTGTCTCTAATTACATACTAGCTTCCAAATCAAACACTGTTGAATGGACCTCTGGCTTGTCCATAAAGCTTGAATTATAAGATAAAGCAAATTTCACATACTATGCTCCATGCGCATGCTGTGATTGTGTTGACTATAATAGTTATGTGTACTTTAGCCCTGTGCACTAATACACTTTAACCACCATAAGATGTTGTAACCTCTTTTTCATTTTTTTGTCTGCTTGTGCGCCCAGATTTGATGTACGTGATTTCATTGATTATTATATTTTTGTTCAAAGTTTGTCATAGCTGGTAATTGTGAAGATATTGAATGTCAAGGATAAATATGATGTCATCCTCTTTTTGCTTGCAGGTGTATCACTTGCAGGTGATGATGAACTTTTAGCAGGTCCAAAAGAGTCACAGGAACCTAAGAGAGATGAATGGATGACCACATTGCCACCTGAGAGAAAAGTAAATGATAGAAATATTTACTTGTGTAATTTTTTTTTTATCTACAATCCACCAAAGTATGCTTACTTTATTGTGATATCTTATATGTATGTAATTTTTTTCTTGTCACAGGCAGGAGTGCCGATGCATTCAACTAAATCATTTAGTATGAATGGTAAAGAAGGACGTGGAGACACAAGTGTCTGGACTGATACCCCTCTTGATAGAGCACAAAAAGCACAACAAAGGTATGCTTACTGATTTTTTTTCCTCGAATTATGCAGGAGAGCTCTGTGTCATTTCACTATTAGAGAAAAAAGAGTACAAGAGCAAGGTGAAAACAGCCCCCCTCAAAACACACGCCACACAAACCCGGTTGTCTACAAACCACGTGCTACTGACTAAAGAACACAACCAATGGGATCATACTGCCAACCAGAAAAGGCACCAAGAGCTACATTCATCAGCGACCTTGTGCAGAAGACTCTGAATATTAGCGGAAGCTCCCTCAAACACACAAGCATTCCTAAATTTTCGTACTTCCCAGGCCACCAAAATAATAAGGGAATTAAGCCCCTTGCGCATCTCCTTGGGGAGTTTCTGATGGTGTTCTCCCACCATCTGAAGAAATGAGTTACATCAGCTGGAGGTGCCAAAGTCGCCATGGAAAGTTTCTGAAACACCAAAGTCCAAACCTGCTGGGTAAACACACAAGAGATTAGGATGTGCTGGATTGTCTCAGCCTGATCACAAAAGGGGCAAGCAGGCTGGTGGGGCAGCCTGCGCTTGGCGTTGATAGTTCCCAAGACAAAGGCAGTGTAGGTCAACTTGCTAGAGTAGGATCCAGATTTTGTAAGCTTCCAATGGTGCTGATGAGGGACACTCAGTGGCAAAACCACACCGCTCACCAAATCCAGAAAGCAAGGGAATTGCGCAGGAATAGTAGATTGATTATGAGGAGGCAATAGTACAGTCATATATAGGCAAGTATTGTCCTAGGGTTTTTTTGGTTAATAGAATCTGGGCCAACCACGGGCATCCTTGCCTACAACAGATCATCAATCAACCTTACAGATCACGCACGGGCGCAAGGCCCAAAGGGCCAACCGAACTAAGTCCCTCCCTAGCTGTCTAACACTTATGAATCAGTTTAGTTCTTTTTATGATAGTTTGTTCAATATTTTTCATGCCTGCTAGTGCAGTGGCAATGCTGGTAAAGAGAATTAATTGGCATCAGTACAGGACAAAAAGCCCACATAGCAGCAGAGTTGGCAATAATGCATTGCAACCTACATGTAGAGCCATCACACTAAGCAATATTCAAATTCCACTTCCATCTAGAAGTTGTCTAAATCAACTTTACTTTTAGCAATGAGGAAAAATGCAACATATCACACAAGCATGCAGCAACTGGGCACCGAGGCAAAAATAGTGGCATTTCTGTATGATGTGGTTGCAGTCCCTGAACAACCTGAAGGCTGCTACTATTTTAATGACTGGTTCCTCCTTGAAACTAGATAAAACCTAGTTGGAATTTTGAACTTTGAAGAATTTCCAGCAGTAGGCTAACACCAGGAGCGAGAAGTTCCTTCCAGGTTAAAACTAGTTAAAGGCATGAGTGTTACAAGTTTTGTAGAACATTGGTTTGCATATGTAGTTATTTCACTTAAATATTATAGGCTTGCTCATTATTGCGTCATTATGCATACTATTAATTATTCTAAAGCTCGGAATTATTTTTAATAACAAATCATGAAAATTAAATCATCCTTTTGTAAATCAAGCTTTCGTTGATCGTTGTGAGTTAAGCAGGATTGAAATTAGTGTTTCCATGTATTGTCACTTATGTATACCATGCTATAATATTTCAATGGTCGAACGGTAGAAATATAATGGCAGTAGTAATTACATAATGCCTTTTGCTCTTATGACAATGAAAGCATAAGTGCATGGATTAGATGTCACAAACTTAATATAAACCAGCTGATTGGAAACTGTTTTCATTGTCATATAAACCAGCTGATTGGAAACTGTTTTCATTGCCAACTAATTAAACTCATGGAATCTTGCCATCGTTGTTTGAGTCAGCAGGCAAACAACATTGTAATGGAGGCATCAGTTTGCTTTGCTATTAAAGTATAAAATAGATGTGCCATATTATTGACATTTCCATTTGTAGTACGCGTTGTCCTATTGCATCTTTAAATAATACCAATACCAATGTACATGGGCTAATGGATTACACTCTCTTGCAGCTATCTAGAAGCCTACAATAAGACAAAGGCGATTGCAATAGGCGATGATGTAAAGAGCAAAAACCCGGATGCTTCAATTGTAGATAAGTACAATACCTCCAAAAGATCAGTGTCTCTTGTGCAGAAGCACCGAGAGAGTAAAAAGGAGAAAAAGAAACAAAAGCAGCACGAGAAAGAAGAATGGGAGGGAAACCACCCATGGAAGCCATGGGACCGGGAGAAGGATCTGACTGCTGGGCGCCAAAAGGTAGCCTTAGACCCAGAGAACATGTCACAAGGATTAACTTCCCGTTTCGCATCTGGTTCTGTTCAGAGGAACTTCCTGTAAGCAGTATGGAAAGATACTCCTTGAGCATGGCCTAATCGATGATTAATATACAGTTACATCCTTGTCGCCTGTCGGCAGATGGCAAAGATATTACTGACACGTAAAAACGAGTTATGTTATCAAGGACAATCATCCTGTAAGTTGGTGCTTGTTATGTTCATTTTCTCAGTGTATTATCTGGCGAGCTAAAATGGTGTCATAGTTTGTTCGAACTATACAATAACTTTTTCAATAGGCCTTAGAATTGTAATTTCATTTTAATGATGCTAAAATGTCTAGGTTATTGGGTTGTTACCATGGGCCTTTTTGTTTCCCTTTCTTTATTGTGCGAAAAATGGTCATGGCTTTTCGGATGGTCTCTGATGGTTCATGATCCACTTGGATACAATACATACCCTGTTACTTTCGTTCAGGCAGACTGCTACTATAAACTTGGATTTGTAAAGTTTACTCAGTGATGTGACATCAACATGTACATTTTATGCCTAGTTTATGCCTAGTTATACCTAAATGTACTGATAGGATAACGCCTACTTAAGTCTTCTAATTACGAGTTTATTCGCTTGATTAGATTGTTTAGCGTTAGTACTGAGGTCCTTCCACTACGAGATTCAAACTCTGAGCGTTTCTTCGACAGTCCCAAGTCAGATAGCTTTTATGGTTCCTTCGTCAATATTATGTATTCCAGAATTTACAAATTAGTCAATTTAGCTATAACCTACTCCACTGCGCTACCATTAGGAAGGGCTGTTAGCTCCCCTGCAGCTGTAGTTGTGCAAGGGGCCAAATGCAGAGTAGACTCATCTGAGGAAAGAGGTAAAGGGTCATCCAAAATCCAAATGGGCTTAACCCGCTGTGGAGTATTTACAATTTATAAGGGACAAGCTTAGAGATAAACAATAGAAGAAAAAGCTTCAGTGTAAGGTATAGGTGAAACGTGCACTGCAATAGTTAGAACAACTATTTATAACAACATCCTTAGCTTCCATTGAGTTTATCCATTACTAGGTTCCCTGCGCTCGGCCTTTTGTTTTCATCCATTGACACACGCATCAGACCAATTTTACTGCAGTTTCTGAATTGGGAGAAGCAATCATCTTTTAACATAATCTGGAGGTGGCAACTTTTTGGAACGTTTTAGCTTCTTTTGTCAGGGAAAATAATGACGAGAAATAACAATTAATCTATAAGTGATATTAAAATCGATAAATTTCTTCCTTCCGATATGCCTAGCAGGCCAACATCTGTATCCACCACTGCCACCCTACACTCACTTTCGTCCGAAGTCATGACCCATGTGCCTAACCGGTCAATATCTGTATCCACCATCGTCACCCTACACTGACTTTTGTCCGGAGTCATGACCCGTGTACATTTGTATGCTCCGCTGTCTCTTTGTGGGCTCACGCGGTGCCGGCCCATTCAAACCCTTCATTCAATGACCGCTCCTACTCTTTCGTCTGTTGTTTATCTCTTAACCTCAACATATGGGCCCCACTGAGATGGGTCTCGCATGGTACATTAGGGTTTAGGACCTGGCCTCTAGTATCGTTATATAAAAAAGTAAGCAAAATCCGCAATTTTTCTCAAGAATCTGAACTCCGCTATCCTTGCATAAAACAGTAAGTAAAATCCCTAATTTTTTCAAAGAATCCCAACTGAAGAAATTCCCCAAGGGCCCAAACTGAAGCCTAGATCACAAACCTTTGATCATGTTCCTGCCTCAATCAATAGCCCACCATGCCACGGCATTACCCAGAATGCAAAGATATCATAATACTCTCTTCGTTTTTATGTCGTTTTAGCTTTGTTTTAAGTGAAACATTTAAATCTTTGACCATTGATTCTAAAATATATATATAGGTTCATGATATAAGATTTATGTTTTTAGATTCACCATGAGAAGCACTTTCATAATATTCCCTCTATTCAGGTTTCACAGACATCTAGATTTAAAAAGTATCCCTCTATTTTAAATTATAAGACATTTTGATTTTTCTAGATACGTAGCTTTTGCTATACACTTAGATATACAGTATATTTAGATACATAATAAAAGAAATATATCTAGAAGCTAAAACATCTTATAATTTAGAACAGAAAAAGTATTCAATATTTACAGAGCATAAACCGTTCAATATATATATTTACACCAATGTGGGACGGCTGAGAACAACCCCTTCATGTTAGGCTATTGCTTGATACATTAGTTGGTGACGTCTCCTGCACCAACCAAGGTTTGCCGCACCTAAGCTTGGGGTGTGGTCTCAAGACCACTTTACATTTCCCATAATAAACCAATTGTGTGGTTCCTTTTTCATATTTTAGATTAGCATAAATTATTTTATTTTTACACAGAATTTCCGATAGAATTGTGAGAAATGGTCGTACGTGCATGAGCCGTACTTGGGCGGTTGGGCCGCTAGATAGGACTTGCAGGGCACATCCACGGACTCCCTCAAAATATTTTTCGTTTTCGTCCCCTACAAACAACTTTAACAAAATATATTAAAAAATATTAATATTAATATTAATATTTATAGTACATAATTAATATCATTGAAAAGATCTTTAAATTTAGTTTTTTAATAAATTTATTTAGATATATAAATATTGCATGTATTTTTTATAAATTGAGTTAAACTTGTGTCACGGAACCAAAAGCTGACGGATAATTTTGGGACAGGGGTAGACTAGAAGCCTCCTGAAATGTTCGTTGTTCTTCTAGAACACGCCCTCGGAATCCTATCGCCACCCACGACACGCCCGTGGAACTCACTCTTTGCCGAGCTTTCTCTGTCTCCATGCTGCCGGCGGTCGCCGCCGCATCCCCCGGCCTCTACCATCTGCCGCGCTACCACCACCTTGGCCGTTGCTTTCACCTCCGCCACCACCGCCTTCTACCTGCTACTCCGGCCAGGCCCTCGTGTGGCGCCACCCACGCCCGCCGCCTTCTCCTTGCCGGCGCGTTCGCCTCCGGGGAGGGTCCTTCAGGACAGGTAAGCTCCTGGCAGCCCTCCTGACACGCCATCGTGGTGTTTGCTCAAATTCAGTCCGCAGGAATTTGCAAAAATAGATAAATATATATATATTTTAAAAACCTCTGTAATGTTTGTGTATTCTGAACCTTAATGTCCATATAATGCATTAATTGCTCCATTTCAGCAAGAAGTTGCGGTATTCCAGCAATTTTCAGGATACTTTTGAAATGCAACTAACAAAATTCTGAAATTAGTTTACATGTGGGCGTTTCGCTTTTAAAAGATAATGTGCCACGTTTTTTTTTATAGCTCACCTCAATTGTTCTGAACTTTTGAAATTCGGAATGGACTTTCTTGAAGTGCAATTTCTTTCAGAGTTGCTGTCGTCTCAATACATCGGTTGATTTTGTTAGGATGTTGACTACTCTGCTGGCGCCACAAATTCTGGGTCTGCATACCTTGGTCTCTTCGTTCGATTGCTTGGCTTGGACAATGACTCACGTGATAGGGAGCATGCTGTTTGCACACTCTATCAATACTCCCTTGGTGGAAGGAAGAGCATCGATGAGATAATGCAATTCCTTGGCTGCATTGTTCTCATCATTAGCCTCCTGAAATCAGAGTCCACTCCTGCCTGTGAAGCAGCTGCAGGTCTTCTGCGTAACATTACATCAGTTCACATATATAGGAAGATGGCTGGTGAGAGTGGAGCAATGGAAGAAATCATTAGTCTTCTCTGTAAATCTACAATAACCCCTGAGGTACCTGCAAATTTAATCACTACCACTCCAAGATATTTTCTCCCATTCCATGTTGGATGTAAAGTGATATAACTGGCTGTTACCATGTTTGGCATGCGTGATAATGGTTGATAGCCAGGATACATATAAAAACAATGTTGAATTACCTAATGCATCATAATGGTTTCCTCTTGCAGATTCTAGAGCAGTGTTTGTGTACCATTTGGAACTTTTCTATTGATGAAAATTGAGGTACAAGATTCTGAGGAGCGATGTCCTAATGAAGATTGTTAGCTACCTAGATGAAGAAGACATAAAAGTCAAAGAGGCCGCTGGTGGTATCATATCAAACTTAGCTTTGAGTCCCTCAAATCATGGAGCTTTGGTTGAAGCAGGCGTCATCCCAAAATTGGTAATTTCAACATAACAAGATCCCAGTGCAAATAATCGCACGCACACTTATATGCATTGCTTCAATGTTGAAAACATGAAATGTTGTATTAGCCATGCTTAGGATATACACTTGGTACATGCATTATTCAACTTTTTTCCTCAAATGAGGTCCTAAAAGCCATTGCAGTTGTAGTACTATGAGATGTTTTTAAACCTTTGGTGATCTGTTACTAAGAAACTTTAGCAAAGTCTAAATATATAGGTCTATATTTTGAGATATGCCTAAATCTTATGTCACGCTAATATTTTGTTGGAGTGCAAATTGCTTTTGCCACTTCTTATTATATATTTCCTGAAATTTGTTCCAAATAATAATTTGGGGTTGTTTTTTAGGTTCATCTTTTGCAAACCAAAGAAGATGACTATAAGATTATTAGAAAGGAAGCTAAAAGTTCACTAATACAGCTGGCTGGTGATGATTGTTACTACAGCCTTATAATAGAGGAGGGTCTAGTCCGGGTTCCTTTGGTTGGCTCAGCTGCATATAAAGCTTTTAAACCTCTCCCTCATTCATGGCCCTCTTTTCCTGATGGCTCTGAGATTCAGCGGAGTTCTCGCCCCTCAAAATACGGTGCCACTGAACTGCTCCTTGGCCTGAGTGTCAATGAGAATGATACAAAACCAGATGAAGCTAAAATTAATGCTATGATAGGACGTTCTAATCAGCAATTCCTTGCACGTGTTGGAGCTATTGAGTTGGATGATCAAGGAAAAGAGGAATCTGGATCTGAAAAGAACGACATGTATACCATTTTGCCATGGGTAGATGGTGTTGCACGGTTAGTTTTAATCCTTGGACTGGAAGATATCTCTGCAATCAAAAAGGCTGCTAGAGCATTGGGTGACGCATCAATAAATGAACATATGCGCACCTCATTCAAGGATGCTGGGGCCGTTAAACCTCTACTTCAGTTGCTCAAGCACAAAGATGTACATGTTAGAGAAGCTGGTGCTTATGCGTTGGAAAAATTAAGTGTCAGGTACTTTATCTTTCCTTATTCGAAGTCTTTAATCAAGGCGATTATACCACTTAATGTTGTTTAGAACAAATCTTAATATCACTTTGCTGGTAATTAACTCTGTTTGGGTGCTGTCACTTATAACACAGTTAGGCGTTTCTAGGAGATTATAATTTTTCTTGATGCCTAGAGTAATGTCATGTTAAATAGAGGAATTTGGCATATTAATAAACCCATGAGCTCTATGACCAAAATTCATCTTTTTCCATCTCTAATTCTCCCACTTTCATATATAAATCAGGCATAAAAATACTCTAGGTAGAAAAACGCCTAGACAAAATGCCTAGGTGCTAGGTGAGGTGCTGCTGCTCCGTTTAAGTGTTGCCTTTGTTGCAAGTAAGTAACTAGTCAAGTGGAATATTTCCTGCCAGAGGGCAGCTTGACACTTAGGCCACTTGATTGCATTATATAGAAGTAGCAAACTTGGGATACAAGAAGGTGCTTCACCTACTACAGCATATGCTAACTGCATAAAGCAGATGCTACCTTGGATGCTAAGGCATTTGAAAATAGCTAGACAGTAAACAGTAACTATCTAAGACAGTGAATGGTAAATAGCTTAAGTAGGTAAACTAGATACATTGGGTAAGCACTAGGCTAAACCCTCATTTCGCCCCCTTAGCCTTGCGCTCAGCCTTGGAGGTGATCTGCTTCAGGACAATCCTCCCCCTTATCTCTTCGAACTTGGCCTTGCCCAAAGACTTGGTGAGGATGCCTGCAAGTTGATCAGCGGTTGGGATATGTTCAGCCTTAACGCTTCCATCTTCCAGGCAGCTACGGATGAAGTGATACTTAATCCTGATGTGCTTGCTCCTCTCATGGAAGATTGGATTCTTGGCTAGAGAGAGGGCTGACTTGCTGTCCACCTTCAGCTCCACCACCTCGACATGCCTGTCGAGGAGCTTTGCTAGCAGCCTTGAGAGCCACAGAGCTTGTGTTGCAGCAGTAGAGGTGGCAATGTACTCGGCTTCACAGCTGGATAATGCCACCACCTTCTGCTTGATCGATTGCCAGCTGACCAAGCAATTGCCGAGGAAGAAGAGTGTTCCACTCGTGCTCTTGCTTGTGTCGATGTTGCCGGCGAGGTCGCTGTCGTAGTATCCGACGAAGTGTGCGGTGCCGGGCACCTTGATGAAGTGCAGACCGAAGTCGAGCGTGCCAGCGACATAGCGGAGGATGCGCTTGACAGCTTGCTGATGCTCCACCGTAGGCCGCTCCATGAACCGGCTGACGAACCCGACGGCGAACGCCAGATCAGGGCGAGTGTGCACCAGGTAGCACAGACTGCCGATGAGGCGCCGGTAATGCGTGGGGTCGACCTGCTCCGCCGTGCTGTGTCTGCTAAGCCTCAGCCGCTCCTCCATTGGAGTGTGGGCAGGGTTGCAGCCAGCCATTTCGCCGAGCTCCAGGATGCGCTTGGCGTAATGTGTCTGGCGGAGGGTGATGCCGCTGGCATTTTGGTGCACCTTGACGCCGAGGTAGAAGCTAAGTAGGCCGAGGTCACATGTCGAAGATCTTCATTTATGCCTTGAATGCCTCCACTTCTCATTCCTCCGCGCCGGTGATGATGAGGTCGTCGACGTAGACGCCGACGAGTAGGACAGAGCGCCCACTGCCCCGCCGGTACATCACCACCTCGTGAGCGCTTTGCTGGAAGCCCATATCCTTGAGCGTGGTATCCAGCTTGGCGTTCGAGCGCTGTGAGCACTCGCCGCACCGTAGTGAAGGCCTTGCGGAGGCGGTAGACCTTCCTTTCCTCTCCGGCGGCGACGGCGTAAGGTGGGCGGTTCCGCGCGTACACCTCCTCCTTGAGGTCGCCGTTGAGGAAAGTGGATTTGACATCCATGTCGTGGATGCGCGCTAGCCTTCTTGAGCCGCCAAATAAGGAGGACCCTATCGGATTCCATGCGCGCGCCACCGGAGTGAACGCGATCGTCGTAGTCCACTCCTTCCGGACGGGCCAAACGCGCGCCACGAGTCTCTTGCCTTGTGCTTGATCACCACGCCACTCATCTTTCTTGAGCTTGAACACCCATTTCGAGGTGATGGGACGGTGACCAACGAGGAGCGGCACTAGCTCCCAAGTCCGGTTCTACTCCACCGCCTTGAGCTCTTGCTCCATTGCCGCCCGCCATGCCGGATCGTCCTTGGCTTCGGCAAAGTTGGCGGGCTCACGGCAGCGTCAAGTGCAGCTCTCGCGAAGAGACGTTGAGGCGACGGAGGTGGAGGATGGCCGCCGATGATGTTAGTCATCGTGCGGTACCGCAGCCGACTCGTCGTCATAGTAGGCGTCGAGTGTGTCTTCATCATCCTCTAGGGGAGTGGCGAACTCCATTTGATCACCGGCCACAGCTGCTGTCGCCGGTGAAGACGGTGAAGTGGTAGGGGCAGCAGGGGACGCTGGTGGTGGCGTTGGCGAGGCCGGTACTGGGTGCTGAGGAGGAAGCCGCCGCTGCTTGCCGATGTCCCTCCGGGCTCCCCCGGACTTGGTGGCGGCGAGCGCGGTGCAGAGAGTGATGGCGCTGGCGATGTAGCTCCGGCCGCCACTAGAGAAGCACCTTGTGCTCCCCCGGCTCCTCCAGCCTCTCCCAGTACTCGACGGTGAAGTCGCTCGCTGCCGAGGCCGAGCTGCCAGCGTCCGGAGTGGACCAGTCCCAACCGCGCCCCTCGTCGAAGATGACGTCGCGGCTGATCTTCACGCGCCGCGTCACTGGGTCTAGGATGCGATGCGCCTTGGCTCCCTCTCGTGCCGATGAAGACGCCGGGCTTGCCGCGGTCATCAAGCTTATGGGTGACCCCCAGTCCTTGGTGTAGACGGCGCGGCGAGCGTCTTCGATGGCTCACCGCCGCTTCCGCGCACGCATACCAAACCTCGTGGGGGCCTTGCCTGCAAAGCTCAGCTGCGTCGGCGAAGCGATTGAGCGGTGGACGGCCGTCATCACCGCCTCCCCCAATACTTGGTGGCATCCTCCTGCGCCCGGTAGGGACCGGGCCGTGGTGACCACGGTCCGATTACGGCGTTCTACCATGCCGTTACGTTGTGGCGAGTGAGGTGTCAAGAAGTGGCGCTGGATGCCCTCTCCTGTGCAGTAGTCGGCGAACTCTACGACGATGAACTCACCGCCGTTGTCGGTGCGTAGCACCCGGAGCTTGCGGCCGCTCTCCTTCTCTGTCGCGGCCTGGACATGCTTGATGGCATCCGCGGCGGCATCCTTGGACGGCGGCGGGGCGGCCCACATGAAGCAGACGCGTCGTCGTCACCAAAGAAGAAAGTACCGCCGCGCTCCTAGAGTCGCCCGGCGTCACGGGCCCGCAAAGGTCGCTGTGGATGAGCTCCACCGCTCTGCTTGTGATACATGGCCCGATGAGGAAAGAAAAGCGCCGACGCCGCCGTTCGTCGTGGACGCAGTGTCGAGAATTGCTCGACGTGCTTGATCACCGGCATGCCCCGCACCATGGCATGCTTGCCGAGTTGGTGCAGCGCCTCGAAGTGGAGGTGGCCGAACCGTTAGATGCCGGCCGCCAGCGTCGTTGTCCTTCCTCGTGGCGAGATAGAGTGGTGGCGCTGACCTCAAGATGGAGGATGTAAGCGGCCCAGGCCCGGTTCACCTTGACGAGGAGGCGCCAGCGGCGATCCCGCATGGCACGCCCTTGTCGATCTCCACCTTGGACCTGCCTTCATCGAGCTAGCCGAGGCTCATGATGGAGTTGCGCAGCGCCGGGATGAAGTAGACACCGTGGAGAACTCAGTGCTCGGCGGTCTTGGCTTGGAACACGATCGAGCCGACACCTTGGATCTCCACCCTTGACGCGTCGCCAAACCGTACCGAGCCACGAAAAGAAGTGTCGAGGTTGGAGAAGAGCTTCGTGACGGCCGGTCAAGTTGTGGGTGGCGCCGCTTGTCGAGGTACCAGCCCATCCGGCTTGTCCTCGCCAGAGCCGATGTTGAGGAATGCCGCGAGCTCTGGGCTCGTCGATGTCAAGGGTGGCGTCGGCCTTGGAAGCGAGGATGTCCTCCTCTTTCCAGCTCTAGGAAACCGTGGGCGAGGAACAAAGCCGCCTCGTCGCCATCCGCCTCCCGCGAGATGCGGCCGCGCCCTGCCTTCGCGTCGGTCGAGGACAATCCTTCGCCCAATGGCCGGCCATGTGACAATTGAGGCGGTGTCGTCGCGGTTCGCCTTGTGTGTCGGCCACGGCCACCACCAAATTTCTCTCCTTGCCGCCGCCACACGTTGCCACACTCGCCCTTGGGCTTCTTCTTCCTACCGCCACGCGCACGCGTCGGCGGTGCTCCTGGACGAAGTGGATGAGCCAAGCCGTCTCCTCCTTCTTCTTCTCCTTCTACCGAACGAGCCATTGCTCCTCGGTGTACATTAGCTTTCCGCCAATAGTAGAGATTGGCTCGGTGGAGTTTCTTCCTCGAGATCGTCCATCGTCTTGACCTTCCGGTGACCTCCTCGATGGCGAGGTCCCGGAAGTCGAGGAGGGTCTCAATCGCGATCTTCACTTGGCGTATTTCTTGGCGCGCCGCTCGAAGAAGCTTCTCCACCGCCCACTCCTCCGTGAGGTCCTTGTCGCCGTGGCGGGCCATCTGCTGCTTCAGCGCAGAGAGGCGAAGCGCGAAATCCTCAACCTGCTCACCGGGACGGAAGGCGAGGTTCTCTCACTCCTTGCGCGATCATTTACCAGCTGCGGCACGGCGAACACTATCGACGGCGCCGATGCGCGCCGCGGCGATGGAGTTCCACGCTTCCTTGTTCGACTCCTTGTCCGCGAGCGGCGCGCCCATCTCTGGCGGTACTCTGGCGATGATGGCCTCGGCGCGCGCCGGTCGCCGTCGGTACGGGAGGTCGACGTACTGCGTTACGCGTCAGAGTCGGGCGCTTTGCATCTTCACTTTCATGAGCGAGCTCCACTCGTGGTAGTTGGTCTTGGTCAAGATCGACCATGGCGTCCCCATG